TCTTGAGGAATTCCAGTACTGTTTTCCATAAAGGATGCACTGTTTTACAGCCCCGTCAGCAGTATATACAAAGTCCAGTTTCACTACATCCTCATTAACATTTGTCATTTCTCTTGTCTATTATTATTTTTTAAATAATGGGCAGCCCAATAGGTGTGAGGTGATATAGTTCCTGTGGATTTGATTTGTATTTCCCTGATAGTGATGCTGAGTATCTTTTCATGATTATTGGCCATTTGTATATCATCTTTGGAAAAAATGGCTCTTCAAGTCTATTATACATCTTTCTGATGCTGTGACAAAATATCTAAGAAAAATCAACTTATAAGGAGCAAAGATTTATTTTGCTTTCAGAGGCTTTAGTGAGTGATTGCTTGGCTCTTGCCTTTGAGCCTGCGGTGAGGTAATACATCATGGCAGGGAGCATATGGCAGAGGAAGCTGGTCACCTTGTGGCAAGGAAGCAGACAGGGAGGGGAAGGAGCTGGGGTCAAACAGCCCCTTCAAGGGCACTCCCCCAATAGGCTAACTCTTTAATTAGGACCCATCTCCTAAATGTTCCCCTACCACCCAACAGCACCATTACCTTGGGAATAGGCCTTTAACACACGAACTTTTGGGGAACATATAGGATATAAAACACAACAAAGTCCTTTGCCCATTTAAAAAATTGGATTATTGAGGTTTCATTTTTGTGAAGTTATAGAAATTCTTTATGTATCCTAAGTATTAACTTTTTATCTGATACATGATTTGAGAGTATTTTCTTTCATCATGTGGGTTGCCTTTTTACTTTCTTGACTATTTCCTTTGCCTTGCAGAAATTTTTAGTTTGACAAAGTTTGTCTATTTTTTGCTTTTGGTTCCTGGACCTTTGGTTCCAAATCCAAGAAATCATTGCCCATTCCAACATAATCTTTCCATCTATGTTTTTATCTAATTTAGTTTCAGGTCTTACTTGTAGATCTTTAATCCATCCTGAGCTACTTTTTGTATATGGTGTAAGATAAGGGTTCATTTTCATTCATTTGAGTGTGAATATGTAGTTTTTATGTCACCATTTAGTAAAGAGACTGTCTTCTCCCCATTATGTAGTCTTTACATCCTTGTTGAAGATTATTTGACCGTATATTCCATGGTTTATTTTTGGACTCTGTTCCATTGGTCTGTATATGTCAGTCTTTATGCCAGTATTATTACTGTTTTGATTACTGTAGCTTTACGTCTGTGGTCATACCTCCCTGAATGTGCCTTATCTCATATGATTATTGTAGTTTTGAAATTAGGATGTGTAAGGCCCCCCTAGTTTTGTTCCTCTTTCTCGAGATTATTTTTGCTATATGAGGTCCACTGAGATTTCATAAAAATTTTAGGATTTTTGTTAATTCTGCAAAAAATTCAAATAGGATTTTGAAAAGGAGTGCATTAAATCTGTAGTTTGGTTTGGGTGTGGACATTTTAACCCATTAAGTTCCAAAGGGTTATGTATATTTTGAAAATAAGTTGTTGGTTTCACATGGCATGGACTGTTTTGACATTGTCGTCATTCTGGCCTTTTGAAAGTAATATGGCTTCTCATATCAAATCTGGTAACATTTTGGACAGTAATAGGTCTGGGAGTGTATACTTTCTTTGTTCTCCTGATGATTTCTGTGGCATTGTTTTATGTGTGTCAAACAGATGTCTCTTGACAAAAAAAAAAAAATGAATTTTTTTGTCTTTGTCACAAATTTGTGAATAATCCATGCATTTATTTTTTTTAAAGTTTTTATTTGTTCTCTTTACATATATATGACAGTAGAGTGTATTTGACATATTATACATACATGGAGTATAACTTCCTGTTCTTGTGGTTGTACATGATGTAGAGTTATGTTGGTAGTGCATTTATACCCACACACAGGAAAGTTATGTCTGATTCATTCAGAGTTTTTCTAATCCATGCATTTGTGAGACACATTTCAATTATTCAAGTGAACAAAGGTCAATTTTTTTTTTACCTCTGCTAAACCAGCCAATTATGTTTTTCCCATATTGTCATTGAAATTGTTATAGGTATCCACTACCTTTGTTTGAGGCACATTGGCTCTACTCTTTCTTTTTTTCCATCATTGAATAACCCTCTTTCTTATTTTTTTAATCAGTCTTTTCAGTTTCAGAGGATACTTGTTTAGTCTGTTTTCCTTCATGGTGCCTGGTTGTTTGAGTTTCTGTTTCAAAATAAAATAAATGAAAAGGGCTGGGAATGTAACTCAGTGGTAGAGCACCCCTGGATTCAATCTGCAGTATGAGGGATTGGGGGAGGGGGCAGAAATCCACCAGAATGTGATTGTAGATTCCTAACTTCAAGCAGTTGTAAAACTAACTTGCTCTCGGGACCTTTGCTCTATCACTGAGCCACACCCCCAACCCTGAGATACCAATTTTGAAATAAATGACAGTGTGTTTAGTCAACAGGTAAAATAAAATATTGAGAATATTGTGAACCAGGTTTCTTACTATTACAAATGGAAAGGGGGAAATTAGAATGGATTTTGTGTTGTTGAATTGGAATTAGAATAATAGTTTGAACTCACTATTTTCAGTATTGATATGGATAAAATAGATTTTTGTATAAATACATGTTTATATTTATATTCCCTTATATTCGGAAAAGGCTTAGAATAAAAATGACCCAAGAATACTGAGTACCCCTATTTTCAAGCTCTCGGTTTCTAAATACCATTTATTCTTCACTAAAAGAAGCTAGTACTCTTAGGAAAAATGTATTCAATTCCAGGGCTGGAAAGTACTAAATGAACCTGGAATAAATGAATGAAAAAAAATTGTCTATCAATTGATCAATTGATTGTTTGAGCAATCACAGTACTAGAAATCAAACCCAGGGCTTTATGCATATTAAGCAAGTGCTCTACCACTGAGCTACATCTCCAATCCTTTAATTTAAATTTCCTGTTTTGAGTTTTATGTTTTCTCATTAAGTTGCCCAGGCTGGCCTTGGATTTTTGATCAGCCACCAGATAGCTGGGATTATAGTTGTGTACCATTGTGCCCCATTGACTTGATTGTTTTTTCTTGCAGTACTGGAAATTGAACCCAGGCCTTTGCACAAGATAGGCGAGTGCTCTGCTGCTGAGTTATATACCTATCCCTTTTTAAAAATTTTTATTTTGAGACTGGCTCACTAAATTACTGGATGTAACTAGCAGTTACCATCTTAACCAAGTACTTAAACTATCATCAGTAATGGAGCAGATGCTACCTGACATCATGTTTTGAAAAAGAAACATTTCTTCTATGATATCCCTGCCAAAATGCATAACCTGAATCTAATTATGAGGAAATATCAAAGAAATTCAAATTAAGGTATATTTGACAGTCAGTTTGTCCCAAAATTTCAAGGTTATAAAAGACAGAAAACTGAGACTATTCTAGATTATAGGAGAAAAAAAGACATAGGACAAATAAATATAATGTGTGATCCTGTATTAGATCTTCAATCAGGAGAAAAGGAACAGTAGGACATTATTGGGACAGTTGGCTAAATTGGAATATGGATTGTGAGTTAGATAATAGTGTGTATCAATGATGGATTTCTAGATTTGAATAAATGCACTGTGATTGTATTAGAAAATTGTTTGTTCTAAGGAAATACATATTGAAGTATTTCTAGAATAAGAAGTGCTTATATTTGATCTCATCAATTCATGTTGTTAGTCCTAAAGAAATTATTAGACTGTGTATTGAGGCAAAAATACTGAATCATTCTTGCTATGAATAGTAGCAAAAAAATAGAAATAACATAATATTTAATATTAAGGGAAAGCTTGAACAATGGCACATATCTACAGTGAAATATTGTGGAGCCCTTTAAAATTATGTTGTACCTCTATATAGTATGACGTTTCTAGTTTTAGTAGATTTTCTTTGTTGCAAGAAACAGATGCTAACTCAGGCTACTTAAAATAGCTGGGGGTAGGCCACAGAAGCAAATAGAACACATGAGAAATCCTTAGAAAGGGTGAGAGAACTTTGGAGAATCTCACCTTGAAATTCAAGGCCTTTCTTCTTTTTAGTGCACTGTCATCAGTGTGACTCAGCCCTAGGATTTCAGTTCCTGATTCAGTTTAAATTCCCTAAAGAAGGATCTGGTTGGATCATCTTTTCTGAGGGCACAATTACGTTTCAGAGAGAGGCTTCAAAGGAAGGATGGATAGCATGTAGACTGAGGCCATTCCTAAACAAGAAATTGTTGTGAACTGGGAAAGCCACTTTGGTTGTTATCTTACTTCAGTTGGTTATTCAACCTCTCAGCATTTTATAAGAAATTTTTTTTTTAAAGCAGAACCCAAAATATTGTATACAGTGTGATCCTGTTTTATAGGAATGCACGGTGAATTTACAGTGGGAATGGAAAATCAAGAGTTTTGTTTGGATATGTTTGAGATTCCTGTTAGGAGGAAGAGCAAGTAGAGTTGAATTCTTTTGTAGCCAAAGTGGCAAACAAGTAACATCTGTCCTTATATTTTTCTAGATCAAAATCATCCCTTGTGTTCCTGTGGCATAGAACTGAGGGGTCTCAACCAAGTTTTCTTTCAGACAGTTAAGCAAACCCTAAGCTTCTTATTTTTGAAAAATAATGAGTCTCCTCTAGGCACCTGCACAGCACTCATTTCACTTAGAGGTGGGATTTGCTCCTGGCATAGATGCATGTTAGACTGTACCCCTCCCCCCATCTCAGTCAACTTCTTGTCTGGTATGTCAGTCACATAATCATTCTGGATTCATTTTTCTCCTTTGTTAAATTGTCCTCGACTTCTTTTGTTCCTATTTTTGGTTTTTCTTTTTAATTGGTGTAAATTAAAAGATTAATAAAAATCACCTACACATCCCCTTTACGTTTTTTAATAATTAAGGCAGCAATAAATAGTTCAGTTTACATCAGTAAACATGTTACAAGCCAGAATAAATGCAAATAAATGCAACTGTTTGACTTTTCAGATATCCACACAGAAGCAGTTCAAGCTGCACTGGCAAAACATAAGGAACAAAAAATGGCTTTGCCCATGCCCACCAAAAGGCGGTCCACATTTGTCCAGTCTCCTGCAGATGCTTGTACGCCTCCTGGTAAGTTTATCAAAACCCTTTCTCTCTAACAGTTACTATCTTGATGTTCTTGAGTTAAGTTCTGCCTTTTCTTTCTGGAAATAGAAGGTGGAACTCACTCTGCATCATCAAAATTATATAAGAGCATACTCTGAAGGCGGCAGGTTTTGATTATCACCTTATAAATAACACATGAAAAGAAGCCTTAAGAGTAAAGCTTTTTAAAAAACAAAAACTTTTATTCTGAGTTTCCAGCATTTCCTTTTTAACCCCCAAATTCATGTAGTCATGAATAAACACAGGTCAGGGCCCTGCTGTGATTAAATAGTGTTTTTATGGACACCCAAAATATGTCTGATAATCATATATTTACTCCATCTCTGCAACAGTAATAGTAGTAGGTGTACTTGAAACAGGATTTTGTGTGTCATTAAAGACTATAGGAGCGTACTCGTGCAGATATGTAAAAATGTGGAAATGTGTTAGTGTATTGATATATCTATATACATTTTAGTTTGTTCAGAATCTACTTTTTCTATTGGGGTCCTGAGATCAGTAGGAATTAGATATCTTTATTCCATTCCCTCAGCAGACTTAGAGTCTTTACGCCCCCTCAGGTAAATTTAAGAGTTACAGCTTCCTATTTGAGAAACGACTGCAACAACCTTAAGTTATCTAGTCTTTGCAGAATCTTTGCCACAGTTTTTCTTTTTTTCCTCTCCTTTTTTTTTTTGAGGGCAGGGTACTGATGATTGAACCCAGGGGTGCTTAACCACTGAGCCACACCCCCAGCCCTTTTTATTTTTATTTTGAAATAGTCTCACTGAATTGCTTAGGGTCTTGCTAAATTGCTGAGGGTGACCTTGAACTTGGAATTTTCCTGCTTCAACCTCCCAAGCCGCTGGAAAGCATGCACCATTATGTCAAGTTTTGCCAAAGTTTTTAAAAACCTTTAAAATATATATATATTTTTAGATCAATCCCAGACAAGATCTTCACATAGGTGTCTGAGACTAAACATAGTAAATCTATTTCCGAGCCTCAATGCGGTGTCTGTCTCTGTAGTGTCATATTCTGCTAATGAAATCTTTGGAGAAAATTTTCCCCCATACTGTTTTGGCCTAGCATGTCTATGGGGAGATTCCTAGGAAAGTTGCATTATTGTGTTTGATTTTTATTCACAGTTGTCACGTTGTCGAACTATTCATACTGAGCCTATTCTCTCATCCAGACTCATTAATAGTTTTCTCCCAGATTTTGGCTAACTTTCAGAGCATTTGGGTGTGCTGTGAGCTCATGAACTGTGTGTGCTTTTTTCCTTCACATCTGTGGTGTCAATATGTCTGAAAGAGAAATAGCTCTGTGGCTTCAAGTGTTGCTCAAAATGTAACACAAGATACCTCTAGCAGACCGTCACAATAAGGCATTTTGTCTGTAATGATGCATACTTCAGACCCACTCATTCAAAATCTTGGATGGGTTCCCTTCCACATTAGTATAGCACAAATTGGGTCCTCATGGACAAAGGGGGCTCTCAGTTTAGTAGCCATTTCTTGTTGGCAGATTCTACTGCAGAGTGGTAGAGGGTTCAGTTACAGTAAATGGCAAAGGGTAGGGAGCAACAGGACATGTAGTTCTTCGAAATAATCCTCTCCAAAGCTGTATTAAAGCAATCCAGTTTCAGAGTAAATAGGCTGTTCTCATTGCTATGGGTTAAATGTGAGAGTGCAGCAAAGGATCTTGAGAATGCTCAGAAAGAGTGTAAACCTCTTTTTATCCCCTTTTATAAAAGTCACTGCCTGAGGGAAATTTACCAGTCTAGAAACAAATCACAGCTGTTTGGTGCTGAATGAGACCATAGTCCTTTGGAATTCACTGTAGGCTTCTGTATTTCTAACTACTAATGTTCTACTCTTTCTGCAGCCTTGGAGATGTACATAAAGTTCTTGATTGCATTATGTATTTTTTTTTTAATTTCCTGATTACAAAGATGTGCTCCTCTCTTATAAGACATGTATTCAGCAGAGCAGAGTAATAAAAAGTTCCAAATCCATTTATCTTCTGTTCTGGGGATCTCTGAATAGTATTTGAGAAACCCCAATTTGTAATTAGGAACATCTGTATTGTTAAGTAGATCGGAATTCTCTCCCATCAAGAGGAAACATTGAGAACACCCTGCATAGTGATTTCTCACATAGACTCCCCAATAGATCTTGATGCTTTCATTCAACAATTATGCACATGCCTAGAACAAATACTTTGCTTTACTGAGGGAATGTGGGAAGAACTACATCATAAGGTTTCTTTTAGCACCCTCCATTTTAGCAGGTAGAATTTACTGTTCTCACATTAGAATTTGAATTCTATTTTCTCCAAGCTTTTCAGAACCACCAGGTAAGAAAGTTGGCAATCTCCCTATTTCTCGTTGCAGTTTAAGCATCACATAGCATCTGTTATAGGATAACCCAGGGATGTCAAATAGGTTTTATTTTCCATATCTACTGTGATAGCCCATGAAACACCCAAGTTTAGAAAAATTCTGAGCTGCATTCAAGAATGAGGAAGAGGAATAGAATTGTGACAGTATTGTTTAGAAGAACTGAGGGTGGATTGAAAGAAATAGGAGGATGGAGGAATTGAAATTATTGCTTGTTATTGGCTGTTTCTAAAAATGTCAGCTCTGACCAGCTATAAAATGACCTAAAAAAGATGTGCCACTTTTGGAGGGAAATATTCACCTGAGATTTCATAATATTTTCGTTATCTTTCTTTGTAAACTGTTATGTCACACACCACAGAGCACATTTCAGGTCAAGTCTTGTACTCTGCTCACGTTGTCCTGTGTGAACTTAGTTTCTGGGGCAACTCCTAGAACATACTAACTAGTTAGCCTCTTTGCCTTCCTGGGGAGGCACACAACACATAAATGACTTGATGAAAATGTAGGGTTCTTTTGAAGGCATTTAAGGAATATGTCATAAATCTTGGCTTCATTTAAATAGATAGTTAGTCTGGAAAATTTGGTGAATAGTTGGCAAGGGAAATAATTTATCTTTGTTCACAAATTATTCTCAAGTAATAATATGTCAGCCTAAAATTTTCTTATTGATATGTACACTGATTTCTACCATCCATTGGAAGATTTAAGTTCTCTTAAGTCAGTAGCAATCTATGGTTCTTTCAGTGCCTGTGGTACAGAGTGCCACAGAGTGTTTTGGACTGCTTGAATTACTGCCATCTAGTTCCCTTTATATGCGGAAATCACTTACTAAAATCATGAGGCAATTACCTCAGCTTTTCCTTTGTAGGGGTTCTTTGTGTAACACTATTACTCACTCATAGAGAAAAAACAATGCAAAAAACTATAGCATTTATTTATATTTTTCCCCTCTGAGCTTTTTCTGCACTCTGCTGGACTTATCCTTTGCAGCATTCTAGGGGTACACAGGTGACCAGATAGATTACATAATGACCCTAAAACATATAGTAAGTTATTCAACTGGCTTGGGTAGAGAGGAGCTTCAATTTAGTCATCTGTCTCAAATAGGACCCTGTTTGGTCAGTGGCTTTAATAATTCTTAGGTCCAGAAGAGAAACTTAGCTCTATATTTCTATATATGAAAATGATGCCCATGAACAGACTAGGATATTATTATACTTTGGACATATTTTAACTAGGTTTATGGATTTATAGTGCTTTACATCCTTCAGAGGACTTTCCATAGTCATTGATTGGCCCCATGTCAAATAGCAATTAAGTGTCAAACTTAAAGTCTTCTTGCTTACTACCCTTCTAAAGTATCATGTGTAGGAAATCCTTTTCATCTAATTAGTTGCTCATGTTTGCCTGATGCTAGAATGAGAATTATTCCAAACTAATTAAATAAACCATTGCCTTTTGAGAGGTTACTCCCAAACACATATCAGTCAGTTAAAAGGAATTTATTTAAAAGAGAATACCTGTTGAATTACCAGCTTGGGGAATTTTCCCCAAAATACTCTAATTTTATTCAAAACCACAAAGTAAACAGAATTGGTTGGTAAATTGGATCTTTATAAATAAACTAATTAATAGCTTTGGATCATTTTAATAGAATACTTTCATTATTACTTCAGGAACTAAGTTTCTATAAGCCAAAGTATAGTAAAAAACTTAACTCTATCAGGTTGAATTTATATATTTCAATAGCTGATTATAAAATTTAAAACTTGACAATAGAAGTAGTTTTATAATTATATAACATTACTGAATACCCTCTGGGTACCAAAGAGAGAAGAAAGAGAAAGTGAGAGAAAAAGAAGCATGTACAAGGACATATGAGTAAACTAAAAAAAAAAAAAAACTAACCTGCCAGCAAAAGAAAATGTCAAGAAAAATTGCCTTTTGACTGCCTTTGAGATAGCACAACCGGGAATCTTCCCTAGGACTTGTGGTCAGTGGTTACAAAGTTTGAATGTTACTACTTGATTGATAAGAACCAACATTAACAAGCGGTCTTAGGCTAAGACATCCCTGGGGTACAGATGGTCTCTAAAAGGATACATCCTCAGCCAGGGATATAGGATTCTCAGAGATAAAGATCCATTGAATGGGAACTAGTAAGACAATAGTGGAAGTAATCTACCATTGAAAGGGAAAGACTGAGGGTGTGGCTCAGTGTTATAGGCCCCAGTACCAAAAAACAAAAGCAAAACCAAACAAGAAAACCTCAGACTAATAAAAAGAAAAAAACAGAATGAAGATTCCCCCCCCCCATCTGATTTTCCCAGTAGCTATTTGTGGCAGAGCTAAGTTCTAAATCCAGAGCAATCTGATTTTAAAAGCCTAATTTTCAAATAAGCAATTTAATGGGAGGGAGGAACACCCTTTTTCTCCCAGTGTTAATTAGAGCATTAATTTATTTTGTAAACTCCCCCCCCCCACACACACACAGGTATATGAGAAAATACCTAGGAAAGCAGTATTTGAGTAATTATTAGTAGTGAGTACACTGCCTCCCAAAGGTATCCCAGTTTGTTAG